TAGAAGACGACGTAACACAACATGATATAACATAGCCGAACATACCACAACACATCTTGACGGACCATATCATATTATGACAGAGCACCATATAACATAACATTGCATGGCAGCAAGGCGTAGCGATACATACTAGCATAACAAACCATACAATACTACACCGAGCCGAGTCGCCAACGAACATAACATCACAAACCATACCAGAGTATAGCATTACAGCACAGAAGACGACATAACACAACATACAACAGTGTAACCGAGCAAAGCATTACACAACTTGACATAACTGATCCTATCGCACAGAACATACCATAACACGGCAGCAGAGCAGAGCGACGACGAACACGACAGAACACAACATGACACACCATAACATGACATAACATGACACGAGCATGGCAGAACATGACAGCACAGAACATAGCGATGCCATTCCAAAGTAGATATCAGAATACCGCATTCCATACCATCGCAGGAAATGACAGAGCAGACGACGACCGACCACAACATAACATAACATGACCGAGCATAACACACCACACCGTGACATAACATATCATAACATGACATGACACACCATTACAGAAGATACCAGAACAGGACAGCTGGGCATAGCGACACATCTGAGTGGCGCAAATCATATTATACGGTACAGAGCCGGGCCGCCAACAAAGATAACATCGCAGAACATACCAGAGCAAAACAGGGCAGAGCATAAGACGACATACCACACCATAAGAAAGCGTACCCGAACATACCATAACACACCTGGAACAACTATATCATATCATATCATGTCATGCCATCATCAGAGAACATATCATACCACGGCAGCAACACATAGCGAAACAGACTGGCAGAACATACCATGATATACTATAATGTGCGGAGCTGCCAACATCTTCACGGAGCAGGGCCTACTATAGCATAACCTGGCATAGCAGATCGTGCCATATGGGCAGGTCACACCATGACATCTCACATCATATGGTGACAGAGATGGGCATACTATAATATACCCAATCAGAAAATAATCATGCAGGCTAAGAACACAATCGTAACAAACGGCGCATGTAATGTCACAGGCGACACATCGTCACGCCGGACCGTCGAGAACAAACCATGATATAATATAACATAACATGAAATGGCGTGCCTACACGGAACACGATTGAACCGTTTTTGAATCCAGAAGCGGTAGTTGTGCAGTGGTGGGAGAAGAAGGAGGGACAGCAGGGAGGAGAGGTCCGCCTTACTTCCCTCCTCTTCCTCCTCCTGATTCGTCGTCCGCCTCCTCCTTCTGCGCCTTATGCTGATGCTCTTCCTCTTCCTCTTTCAACAGGCTGCGGCTCTCTATCCGTTTCGCGCCGCACGTTGTCGAAGCTTGTTTTTGTTGTCGCCCTGGGGTCTCTTTCAATTTCTTTCGTCAGAAGCTCGAGATAACGGGTTGTTGGATTTGATTTGTTGGATTTGGGATTGTTGGATTTGGATTGTAGGATTTGGATTGTTGGATTTTGTCGCCCTGGGTTGTTGGATTTGGAGATAACGGAATCCGCCCTCGGCCCGATCGCCGCACTGGCCGAGATTACAGGGCCCCGCGCGCAGGGCTCCACCGATTAGACGACCGCGCGCTGCCAGGAACAAAAGCGTAAGGTTTCGGTGAGGATCGCTCGAAGCAAAACACCGTGTGTTTTTCATTGTGTGTGTGTTCCTTTGTTGGTTTTCTCTTTTTCTTCGTCACTTGTCGGGGACAGCCCAGATTATCCGGGGGACTGATGGTCTAACCATTTGACTTCGGGCAGCCCTGCGCATGCCCGCGCGCACACCAATGGTGCGTGCGCCCCCTCCCGCCCGACCTGCGCAATCGACCTGGTCTGGTTATCAGGGAGGAGGGGGCTCTGGAGGGGCCCGATGACCCGGCGCATCGCCTGAGACCAATCTCCTGGAGCCCAAACATATTTTTGGTCCGCGGAGCGCCAGCGGTCGCTATAGCGCGTTCGGACAGCAAGCGGGGAGCGCCAGGATAACAAGTGGACACAAAAATAAAAGGCGGCCGCAAGGGAGGACGCAAGGAGGAGGCCTCAGCCGCTAAGAACATGTCACCGCAACGACCTTGCAGACCTGCTGCAACGGATTTGTGTGTGTGTGGATTTTCCTCCAAAAGACCCTGGGACGGCGAACTAAAAACGGTATTCATTCCTGGCCAACAAACAATCCGCACGAAAATCGCTTCGAAGTCCAGAAAGACATTCTCCAGGACAATCTGCGCCCATTCTTCTGTTTTCCGAACGAGATCCGCTCTGCGATGTTGGCGCCATGGAGTATGTGTCCTGCAGGGCGTGCAGGCAGCCTTTGGCGCCCGAGATCGGTGTGCTCCCAGATTGTGGGAATCGGTGCGAGCTGCTCAAAGGTTGCTCAAGATGCGCTTTCTGGGTGCTGCGGCGCCCTGCGCGGATCTGCGCGCTCACAAGCTTTTGTGTCTCCTGCGGGAGGCTGCGGATGTCTTGTCCGTCGTGTCTGTCGCGTCTGTCGCGTCTGTCAATTTTGTCCGCCCGTCTTGTCGTCTTGTTCCGTCCGTTGGTTTTGTCTGCCTGTCGTTCCCTCCTTGAGCCGCTCTTGCACGCAGGGCGCAGCGCTGCACACTGCCGTTCCTCAACGGCCTAACGATGGCACGATCAGTCTAGCGCTGGCGGGGTCGCCCAGGCATGCGCGGATGAGAACCCCGTCCCAGGGAAGAGGTTCAAACGGGCAGGAGCGCAAGATGGGAAGACTCCGCGGAGTCGCGGCGTCCGAGGGAGTGGGGCTGGAACACCAGTTTAGAGGCCATGGGTCACTTGAACACAAGTCAGCCAGCGCGGGCCACAAACAGTGATGTCTTGCAGTCTATGCACTCTATGCGGTGCAGTCCACGTGGTGCCATCAATGTGGTACAATTTAGGTGCTGCAACCCATGTGATGCAACCTACGTGGCGCAAAACAATGCAAACTAGCGCAACACAATGCAACACGATGCAAAGTCATGCAACGTAGTGCAAACGAATGCAAAGCAATGCAAGGAAATGCAAAACAGAACAATGCCAAGTAATGCAACGCAGTGCCAAGCAATGCCAAGCAAAGCAAAGCAAATCCAATCAATGCAAAGCAATGCAAAGCAACGCAACTCAATGACACACAATGCAAAGCAATGCAAAGCGATGCAAAGCAATTAGAAGCAATGCAAAGCAATTACGCACAATGCGATGCAATGCATTGCGACGCAGAACAATGCACAGCAATACGAAACAACGCGGCGACGGTCGGCGACGAGCCAGACGGACCACCACTGAGGCCCAGTAGCGACGGGGGCGACGGGCGGCGACGAGCCGGCTGGACCGCCACCAGGGCCAAATTGCATTAGAATGCAAGCAATAACTCCTACTCTGGGTTTCGCAATAAGCCTTGGGGGGGTACCCCCCGACGGGGGTCAACCTCGCCTCGTCGTCGCACCGCGACGGGGGTCGGAGCGCCTCCGGCGTGCGGTGGCTGCCCGCGACGGGGGTCGATGTGGGGCTGTCGGCGGGGGTGATGCCCCCCCCGACGCTTATTAAGAAACTCGGAGTAAGTGCAAGAGCTGTTTGGGGAATTTGCATCTCTGGAAGACATGCTCTCAATTCCACTGGCTTCTGCCAGCGGGCCTGCCCCCATTTCTCACTTCCACTGGCCTTCCGCCCGCCTCCGCCGAAGGCGAGGTCGCCACGAAGGCGATGCCTTATACGAAGCGCCGGACATATGCATGTCAATATAGATCGGATTCGCGAGCAGGTCGGTCGCATCAAGGGGAGATGGCGGAGGGTCATCTGAAACAACGGCGGCCCCTCCTCCTGTTCCTCCTCCCTCCTCCCTCCTGGCTCCCCTTTTTCCTGCTCCTACCTCGTTCCCGGTCCCTCCCACCTCCTCCAGCAGGTCAGTCGTCCTTCTAACCGCAGGAAGCAATGAATAGCCCCCCGGGGTTATCGTTCGCACCGCACCGTAATTCAATAATTCCTGGGGGCGGTTTTCGCGGAACGATATCGTTAGCACCGCGCGTAAGAAAGGAAAAGAAATGATTCCCGCGCCTTGGCTCGGGCGGTATCCCAATTGGAATCTGTACGATTCCTAGATATCCCTATTCCCCATAGGACTCCCCCACAGCAGACTCGTCTGCGTTCAGAGCAGTTTCTGAGGATGTCTCAGGCGAGGCGCTTGTTTCAGAACCACACGGAGGCCAGATTGCGAGAATGTTTCAGGCGGTTTCCTTGTTTCGGCGGGCAGACTCGTCTGCGTTCAAAGCAGGTTGCGAAGGGCCAAGGTAAGGCTTCCCGGGTGCCGGAGCGTTATACTTTCGCCGGAGAGGGGGGGGGTCTTAATTGCTTCTGCGGGTTAGTGCTGGTGCTCGTGGACACGCGTGAACAACACCAGGAGGGATAGGAGCAGGAGGGCAAGGAGAGGGGGAGGATCGATGACCCTCAGGGCGTGGGTCAGCGCCTACGTGTGCTTGTCCACCGAAGCCCTTCAGTGCAACGCGGCCAGCGTGTGGAGGGTCGACACAGGATGAAGCTATCGATGTAGCTGAACTGGATAAGACACACACTTGGCCGACCCACGTCTCGAGGAGATCATCGAGAGGTGGGGATGGGGACGAGGAGGGGCAACAGCAGCAGACGGATCTCGGACAGAATCGTGCCACGACATCCCCGTGAGGCGCGACGGGACCAGGATCTCCCCGGCGAGGGCCTGGCCGTGGCGACGATGGCCCTCGGGGAGGCCCCCCCGATCAGGGGCCAGGAGACACCAGGAGAGGGAGAGGGCGGTGGGCCTGGAAACGCTGAGGGGCGCGAAGGAGGAGGAGGAGGAGGAGGAGGAGGAGGAGGAGGAGGAGGAGGAGCAGGAGCAGGAGGAGGAGGACGGCGAGACAGAGGGAGACGATGGAGGTCTCTCCGATGGGGGGCGGGCGGGCGGTCGACACGGGGAGAGCGGCGGTCCTGGCGCCGCGGGCGCGGCCGCGAGGCCGCGCAGTTCGCTCGACGGTGGCCTCCGCTTGCAGAAGCTCCTCCTGAGGGGAGCGGCGGGGCGACGCCGGACGTCAATCGCGATGTTGCAAGTTGATTCGCCACGTCGAATCTCAGGGAGTTCGATATGTGCGGGGGAACCCCGTCGCTGCTCGTCCTGGAGAGCCCTCGTCGTCGCCACGGCTGGATTCTCCTCGGGATCTTGGTCAGAACGCACCCCAGAAGAGGTCCGGGGAGTAGAGGATACCCGGGGCGTCTCCGGTGGTATGATTTTCTCAATCGGCGGCGGCGGCCACGGCGACGCCGAAGGCGACGGCGACGCTGGCGGCGGCATTGGCTCTGGCAGCGGCGGCGAAATGCGGCCACGGCGGCGTGAAGACGACGAGAGGTGGCCACGACGGCTGTGGCGACGGCGAGCAGGTGGGGTCGCGGCGGCGGCGACGGCGAGGTGAGGCCACGACGAGGACGATGAGGCAATGTCACAGCGGCGACGGCGTCGACGGGATGGGACCCTGACGACGACGAGATGAAACCAAGACGACCACGACGTCGGCAGCGTCCTCTGATATCGACTCGGGTCGAGATCTACTCCCCCCCTCCCTCCTCCCTCCCTCCCTCCCTCCCTCCCTCCTTCCTCCTCCCTTCTGCGTGAGACTGCCCTCCCACCCCACGCCCTGTTCCGCCTGATGGTCATGCTGCCCGTGAGTACAAACCAGGATGGACGATTGCGACCAGCGTGCCCCCAATGGCGGCGACGTCATGATGCTGCTCATGGTGCCCCCCATGGCGGCCCACCGCAGAGGTCATGGCGCCCCGAGGTCATCACTTCAAGTTCTCCCTCCTCCTGTCCATCCCCCCCCTCCCTCCTCCCTGCCTTCCTCCTCCCTCCCCTCCTCCCCCTCACCTCCGCCTCTCTTCTCCCGGCGCGCTCTTCGCCCCCCTGCTTCCGACGCCGCGTGTCCCTCCCAACGTGGGCCCTCGGGGCCTGGACCCCCTCCCTGGGGCCGGGCTTCCATCCCGAGCCGCAGCTTGACGACCATCGCATCGGCACGACGACGGCGACGACGGCCTGCGCCTCTTCTCCACCCTCCCCTGCCCCTCCTGCCTCGTCATCGTCCGGCTGCTCCTCCTCCTCCTGGTGACTGGTGGCCGGTACCACGAAAGGCTTTAGACGTTGCTCCTCCTCCTCCTCCTCCTGCTCCTCCTCCTGTTCCTGCTCCTCCTCCTCCTCCTCCTCCTGCTCCTGCTCCTCCTCCTCCTCCTCCTGCTCCTCCTCTTCCTCCTCCTCCTCCTCCTCCTCCTGCTCCTGCTCCTCCTCCTCCTCCTCCTGCTCCTCCTCCTGCTCCTCCTCCTGCTGCGACCTCCTGTTCGGGCCCCAGCCCTGGACCCAGGCACCTGCCGCTGTTCTCGGTTATTCTTCTACTTGCTCCTCGTCTTTCCGCTCCTCTCACGCCCGTGCGGTGCGCGGATCGCTGCCGCTGGCGAGCTTGAGGTGAGCGTCGGTGCGCGGGCAGCTGCCGCTGCTCTTGTTCCCACCCCGCCGCGTCAGCTTGGGGAGGGGCAGGCCTGGTCTGCGACAGGATCCTCTGCAGCAGTGGGAGCTTTGGTGAGCCCCACATGCCCTCCATACGAAAGAGACCCGGCGTAGCCAAAGGTCTGCCAACAACCCCTGGAAGAAACAACCCCCGCACTGCTGAGGCGTGGCAACACGTGCCGTTTCCGTCCCTCCCCTCCTCGGGCTGGCGCTGGAAGATTTCTTGGTGTTTCTGCTGCAGTCTCGCTACGTGTAATCGGTGTTCTTTGGTGTCGACGGCGACGCACAAAAAAACGGGGCGGCGGAAAACAAAAACCAGGACGCGGCCGAGCGAATTCCGCACTGAAACTACTGGCAAAAGTGGGGAGGGTCCTGGTTTCGGTCAGGAAGATTTGCCACAACACAAATGAACATGGTGAAAAACAGATGGCACGAACAAATGTAACGGTTTTCATCTGAAAACCTGGTGACATGTTTGAAAGAAAGGCGAGCCACAAGGAGGTGCGGGCAGCATGAGGAGGATGTTCTTCCTTTCCACTGACAACGTACCAGGCAGGACAACCAGTGAAAACACAGATGGGACATATGAGGTGAAGGATTTTCGTGAGGAAGCCATGTGGAAACACAGTTGCAACATGAGTTAATCGTGCCAGTAAGGAGAGAGAGTGGAACAAAACATACGAAACATACACTGCAATGTCTTTGGTGTGGAAAATCCGTATAAAACACATTTTTTGCACAAAAGCATATAATTCAAAATTTCCTGTCGAGAAAAAAACGTGCCACAAAGAGGTTAGGTGAGCAAGGGGAAGATGCTCCCCGTCTCCACAAACAACGCATCAAGCAAGACATACCGTGAAAACACCAACTTATGCGTTCAAAAGCAAAATGACAAGAACAATATCATGCATGCGCAGTCCATCATGGCAGCCAGACTTCCTGTAACAGACGCGTGCAAGACAGCTTGAAAGGAAACCTGGGCAACTTGCGAGCCTGAAAAGAGAACTGATCGTGGGCCCTGGAGGCGCTGCGAATGAGCTGCGCAAACATTTGGGGCACACATGCTGGGAATGAATAGGACAACGCTTCCAGGACAAGCGCGAGGCTCAGACAACTCGCTGCGGCGCTGCCTGACCGGCAGCTGTGGGGATGAAGCTGGCCGACCCTTGCCGGTCGACATTGATATAAAACCCTCCAGGCCCTCCAAAAACTATCCGGGAATCAGCACATATATTGATGGCTGTGGTAAGGAAACCTTTGGGGACACATATGGCGCATCTATGGTTGAAATGTCTTTGGGGATGAAACATGTACGCCTGTCCGCAGGACAGAGACTTGACTCATATGGGATATGTGTTTTCGCGAGGCGTCCTTGCCAACAGCATTCAAATTTGATCTTTTATTTTTCAAATGGCTTCCTGAACACAACAATTCGAATGATGCCTTTGATGTGATTTCACCAGCATTCCTGCCCTGCACGTTGTCTGTAAAACTAAGAGCATCCTCCTCCTGGTCCCCACACCTCGCTGTGGCTAGCCCGTTTTCCCCACACATTGTATTCCATGGTTTACCAATGTCTTCACCAAGCTTCGTTGCCACAACCATCATACCTATATATTTCTTATGTTTTTTCCAGTGTTGGGTCCTCGTTTTGAAGAGACGGTCCCCGCGATCTCCTCTTCTCCTCTACTACTCCTTCCCACCCCTCCTCCCTCCTCCCGTTACCCCCTCACTTTGGCACACCCACTACACGTTTCGTGGCCCCATACGGAGCTCCACCGAAGGCCTTAGTGGAGGTGCCCGCATGCGGTCCCCACACCCATTTCGGTACACCCCTCACACGCTTCGTGGCCCCATAGGGAGCTCCACCGAAGGCCCTAGTGGAGGTGCCCGCATGCGGTCCCCACACCCATTTCGGCACACTCCTCACACGTTTCGTGGGCCCATAGGGAGCTCCACCGAAGGCTCTAGTGGGGGGGGCGTGGCCGCATGCGGTCCCCACACCCATTTCGGCACATCCCTCACACGTTTCGTGGCCCCATAGGGAACTCCTGCGTGGGCCCCAATGGGGGTGTCCGCATGCGGTCCCCACACCCATTTCGGCACACCCCTCACACGTTTCGTGGCCCCACAGGGAACTCCACCGAAGGCCCTAGTGGAGGTGCCCGCATGCGGTCCCCGTACACATGTCGGCACACCCCTCACACGTTTCGTGGCCCCATAAAACGCTTCACCCAAGGCCCTAGTGGGGGGTACCAGCATGCGGTCTTCACACCCATTTCGGCACACTCCTCGCACGCGTCGTGGCCCCACAGGGAGCTCCAACGAAAGCCCTAGTGAGGGTGTCCGCATGCGGTCGTCGCACACATTTCGGCACACCCCTCACACGTTTCGTGGCCCCATAGGGAGCTCCACCGAAGGCCCCAATGCCACCGTCCACGTGCGCTACCCACACCCATCTCGGCACACCCACTCACACGCTTCGTGGCCCCATAGAGAGATCCACGGAAAACTCCAACGCCACCGTCCAAACGCGTCCCCCACACCGATTTCGGCACACCCCTGACACGCTTCGTGGCCCCATAGGGAGCTCCACCGAAGGCCCCACTGCCACCTTCCATTTGCGTCCTCCACGCACATTTCGGCACACCCCGCACACGTTTCGCGACCCCATCGTGAATTCCACCGAATGCTCCAGTGGCACCGCCCGCATGCGTCACCCACACCCACTTCGGTACACCATTCACACGGTTCGTGGCCACATAGGGAGCTCCACCGAAGGCCACACCGCCATCGTCCACATGCGTCACCCACACCAATTTCGGCATATCCTCACAGGGTTCGTGGCCCGATAGGGAGCGCCACCGAAGAAGATATTCACAATTGCGGTACGCACAACTGCATATGGTTGGGTCATTCGCCTGGCTAATGTCACATGGCTTCCTGATCAACTTCGATGCATGTATATGTTAAAGTTGCGTGTCCATGTCGTTTTCTACCCGAAGCCATTCACATGATATGGTGTACAATTGTTTGCACCGGTTCTTTTGTCTGGAACGTTCTGCGGAAAGACAAGGGGTCCTCCTCTTGTTCATCAAGCCTCCCTGTGGCGAGCCGTTCCCCCCCACAGCTTTGAATCATACATATATAAAAAAAAACATATATGTATACATGTATGTTGTGTTCGCTGGGAGGTCTTGCCAACACCATGAAACGTTCATGTCTCGCACGTGCTGTCGCGAGGGTTTCTTACAAACGAAAACAGCAAGGTGTGTGGTTACCTGCATTTACACACGTTTGCCTGTCTGGCACACGTCTGCGAAAGATGGGGTGAGGGAGCAAATGAGGAGGTCGAAACGACAGAGGAAACAGAGGAGGAAGAGGAAACAGGGATGCGGATATGATGGGGAAGAGGGGGAGGAGGAGAAGGAGGAGGAGGAAGAGGAGGAGGAGATAAAATTGCGGGGCTTGGAGGCTGTACGACAGAAGCCATGGCGGTAGTATCATGTA